ATATAGTGTTATTTCACAACAAATAGGAATTTAAAAATTATGACAACTTAAAAATAATTATAGACCTCTTTATTTTCTACATGGCAGTCAATGTTCACAATAGTTCATTTTCTGATTCTCTAGCAATCTTGTGAAACACACATCTAATCCAATTTTTCTAGAGAAATGATGCTCAACGAGACTAAGGACTTTCCCCAAAACACTAGCAAAAGAGGTGTAATGTGTACCTGATTCCAAGGAAAAGCAACACAGAAGGACATCTTCTGTATTGCATCTAGTGTATCTATGCAATTAAAACAAAGTATGTGTGTCATGGTGGGGGTTGGGGCAACTGATCAGTCAGTTAAGAACTTGACTGTTTTGGAGGACTCAAGTCCTGTTCACATAAATAATATTTGGCTGCTCACAGCAGCTTTTAATTCCATATCTAGGGGGTCCAAAACCTCTGTTCTCCAAGGATGTACACTTGTATGTACCCATCTACAGACACATTTGCATATACATACTTAAACATGTTAAAAATGAAACAATCTACTCATGAACAATAAGATGAAGAATCAAAAACTCATTCTGTCAAATGAATGACACAAGTCCAAAGGAAAAATGACACAAGTGGAAGCATATTAGATGGCTGAATCTCACACATCTGGAATTCCAGCAGTCGGGAAGCTGAAGCAGGAAGGTGATGAGTTCTGGGTCAGCCCGGGCTACGTAACAAGAACCTGTCTCAGAATGAAAAGAATATCCACTCTGCTATCTTATTTCTACAGTGTTCTAAAAAAGTGTAAACCAACATGGGAAAGAAACCCTAACTGCAACTTCTTAAGGAGAAAGAAGACAGTGGGGCAAGAATTGCTTAAACCTTATAGGAGGAAGTGTGGAAGTGAAATGGATATTCAACACAGTGATGAAATGCAGAGACGAGTCCATGCTCATGATATAAAATAGACATCTGTGCACCCCAAATAACTATACTTGATCATACTTCAGGTGTAATATGCTAAGTTGATTATAGGAAAGTTGTTCAGAGAATTCCTTAGCCATGTTTGTTTGTTTTATTCAGTTTCACATCATGCACCCCAGTCCAGACCCTCATATCTGCCCTTAGCTCATGCAACCTCCCTTCCTCCCCCCACATTAAACACACACACACACACACACACACACACACACACACGCACACGCACACACACGCACACACTCAAAAGCAAAGTATAGAAAACATCTCTTCATGGAAGCTATAGTATGTTATATTATGCCATGTTTTTTTTTCATTTGTTTGCTTTTTTCTTTTTAATGAGCATATCTGAATGTGTTATAAAACTTATCTAATTGAGTATAAAAGAGCTCTTTCAATGGGTATAAAGTAAAAATTAAGGTAATGATTATATTTCACCTTCCTCTAGAAAGGTCTTTCATTTTTAAATGAAGCTCTCTGAGTGCATTCAAGGTTTGAAATTTTACATTATTCAACAGATTCATAGTCTAAGTATGGGAAATTTGTCGTATTACTGGAGGAGTCATTCATGCTGAAGTCTCTATCTTCTGACTGAGATGATCCAGTCACTGTATTTTCAGAACCCCAGCCTGTGTGTATTTATAGAACATGTTGCTTTTCTACATCTGTACAACTTTTGGTTTTAAATAAAAAATTGCATTCTTATCCTCTTTTTTAAACCAATCCCTAAAATGCTTGGTGATGTACTACTGCCAAAAGGGAGTGTTACAAAACTTCTTTTCTGGATTCTCCAGTTACTTACTTGGGGACAACCTGCCTATTTCAGAGTTTGCTCTCAGCTGTATGATTCTTCGTGCCCATTGTTTTGAAGTTTGCTCTTTTTCTTTCCTCTAACCATTGCATCCTCTTCCCTCCGACCTCACCTTGTTAATGCCTCACTACACCATGAGTCCTGTCTTTCCTCACCTTTCCTTGTACTATAGTCCTCCCTGCCTATAGGGATTAAGTGCCATATATTCAGGTGGGTTTCTGAAACTAGACACCCAGTGGTGAACTCCATGCTTATGATGCTGTCCTTTGGACATGTATATTTTTGATATATGTATTTTGTAAGTCAGGCACATTAAGAGATCACAATTAGAACATTGTAATAGGATATCTGCCACACATTTTTTTTTCTTTTTTTTAATCTTAAAATTGTGCTATTCCTATGTTTCTTCTAGTTACAAGGTGGGGGAGACATACGCCCAAGTGATGTCATGCAATATGTGAATGAGGTAGGGCTGTGAATAGGATTAAGCCTTGCATAAGGATTGCACAAAGACAAGTAAAATCAAATATAAGATGCTGAACACTAGATCTAATTACTGGAAGGGTTACCAAGCCATTAGAGCTTAGGTATCATACACAACTAAGATGCCACACACAGGACCGATTCAGGTTCTTGAGTGTCAGAGTTGACCACATTCAGTTTCACTGTGTTCTTAGAGCAGTATATGAGTAATAAAACTTAATTTTTTTACTTTAGAGAAATTCTTGTTTAATACTTTTATAACAGAATGGAGTGCAGTTAATTGAAACTGTGGGAAGCTAGAGAGCTTCAACTAATATTATCTTGCTGTTACTCACTTTGTAGCATTGTGCAGCTTAATTTTCTGCAATGTGACTCAAACAAGAGTCACTTAAGAAGAGTAAACCTCAACTGAGGAGTTTCCCCTTCAGATCCATCCACAGGAAAGTCCATGGAGCAATTTCTTCATTAACAATTGATGGGAGAGAGCTCAGTACACTGAGGGAGGCACCACCCCTAGGCACGCGGCGATCCTGGTTGTATAAGAAACCCTGCTGAGCAAGCAATGGAGAGCATTTTTTAGGAAGCCCTGTTGTATCCTTGGTCTTGGCTTCTTTTCTTGTCTCCTGTTTCAGTCCTTTCCCTGGCTTCCTTGGATAATAGACTGTATAT